TTAAAAGCCTTCACATGGAAATGCTTACAGGATTTAGCTGTATCTGTGATGAGATCATGTCCAAGTTAGTGGTTTTATTGTTGTTTTTTGATCTTGGGCATCTACTGTGTATAAAATCTCTGTTCAGGCACCTCTATATTGGTAACTGAATTGGCACATTGGAAGCTAGTTACCTGTCATGTTGCTTCTTTTAAGAAGTTCTTGTCCACACGGTCAAAGTGTCAATGAGAGCAGAAGTAACAGTGTAACATAAATGAACTATTTAATTACATGCACTTTTGCATATATTAATACAGGCAAAACACATTATAAAAATTATTAACTTTTCTACCACATCTAAGCAAATAAAGCCACTCCCTATGTAATTAAGATTAGCTTTCTTTAATTTATCTACATTTAATTGCATCTTTTCCTATTTTTAGCATCTAAACCTTACCTTCATCCATAGATGGCTTCACACAATCTCTGCTTTATTCTCATATATATATGCATTAAACTGTAAATTAACTTAATATATATCTCTGATTTCTAGCAACAGTGTAAAGGTTCTTAAAATACTGACCATATTTTGTCTGAGTTCAAAAGCTGCTTCAGCTAGGGTAATTACCTTTTAAAGACCAGATTCTCTGATTCCTAAGCAGAACTGCCTGTTCTTGCATAAACACACTGGATTTCAGCTCCTCACAGTGTGGCCAGGGTAGTATAGATGTCAAACAATCTGAGGCTAAGCAGTAATATTTAGGCATCCATTTTGATCTGGTCGGTTTGTTTGGGTTTCGGAGCGTGTTGGTTTTTTTTGTTGTTTGGTTTAGTTTTTGGGGAGGTTGTTTTATTTTTAAAAAGGCAATAGCAACATATGGAATTGGTGGTTATGGTCATAGGGGTCATCCTCCTATGTTTGAGAAGCTGGTTATTGGAAGTTGGGCCTTCTGAGCATGGTGGCATGTAAGTGAGCATATAGGCTTATCTGACTACCAAGCATACCATGAATGTTGCCTTGGTTAGAACTTTCAGTAGATGACCGCTGCAAGATGTACAAGTTACAATACATCTCTTGGAAGAGGTGAGAGGAAGAAAAGCTAATGGTAATCTTGTATTATCTTACATTAACCAAGTGAACAAACTATTTGCGTGTCATTCTTTCAGATTTTGCTGTATGCAAAGCCATTATTTGACTTAAAATTCTTTTTATATGCTACACAATTTTCTGTAGTCAAAATTTCAAATAGAAGCAAATACAAATGTATTTAATAATGAAACAAACACAAAATGGTTTGTGTTTTTTTTTTTTTTTCCTCCTTTTTTTTTAGGGGATATTCATTGTAAGAAATAAATTTTATTTTGTTTTTTTAACCCTAGTAGAATCTTCCCATTAAAGGCAGAAATTCCTTTTAATTCTTCCTTTGAGAAAATGAAAAAAAATGCTTTAATAGCATTCTGTACAGTCTTGCTGTATTAAAAGAAACCCTACTATCCTGAAAAAGGGTGTCTGGCATACCAAAACTCAACTAACTGCTGTTTTCTCTAGTCCTTTAAAATTTAGTCCAGAATATGCATATTATTGTAGACAGGTAAATATCCAACACTTGCATTCTAACTAATAATCTGAGTCCTATTTTAGACCAAGTGAGTAATAAATGTCTTTGACAATGTCTGTAATGATTGTCAAACCACCATTAGCAAAGCCAGTCCAAGAGTTGCCCATACAATACGTTTGCATTCCCACATAATCTGTTGTTAAGGAAACTGGAGAGAAAATGCAACAAGGGGTAAATGTGGTGTTTTTCTCAGTGTACATCAAGGAAGAAGTAGTGGGTTAAAATTTTGAAATGCCTTCTTTTCAACTCTTCTAATTTCTTTCCTTTTTTATAGGGATAAGGTTAAAATTAAACATCTCCCCCACATATGGTTAAAGTAGGCTTAAAAATTAAGCCAGACTTTGCTTCCACTCAAGCACGTTTCTAGAGATGCACTAGCAGATCTTCAACTATTATTTCATCTGTTAAAGGAAAAAAATGTTAACTAAGTACTAAGAGAAGGGGGAAAAAACAGCACTTGCTCTTAAAGTAGATGATATCAATTTTGTTATTTCATTAGAGAGCTAAATCCACTGCACGGTCTTTCTAAAACTGTGATTTACATTCTTTAAAATGTTTCTCTCATTATAAAAATGATTTCCGGATGTTTTAAAATCAAGAAGGAAAATATATATGCATTTTTCTTTTCCTAGTTTGCTTGGGCTCTTAGATATGATAAAGGCAAACAGAACTATCATCTTCCCGAAATAGAATTATTCCTTAATAATAATTAGTTTTCCATTTATTTAATGTGGCCATCTCATCCCACTAATGCAGATCAAAACACAAGTTAATAAGTAATCAGGCTACAGTTTAGAAAATCCAAATCAAAAGCACACTTGTTAGGGAGAGGATATGGGTTACTTAACATCCTCTTCAAATCAACTTTCTCAGGGCAATATGGGCAAGTCTGGTTCTTGCCAACAATGCACTAGTCATGGATGCAGGATTGCATGAAACCTGGTATTAGGCATATTGTTAAGGAATCTTTCAAATATAAACAAGGCCCAGTGCTTACAACTGCAAACCTAGTCAAACCATCAACAGGTAATTTTAATGACCAATGATGGACACCACCTTGTTTTATAACTAAGCAGTTTCAAATCACTTGAAATATCTAGAATATTTAGAACTATTTTCAAATTGAATCCAATATCCTGAACATCCAGGCTGTTATTCATATTTTCCAGCTCACAAGAAGCCAGGGTACTTTTACGAACTGCAGAAGACGGGATGATTAGTAACATTGTTCCAGCACCTATGCAATTTCTTTTGGTTTAGTTTCTAGAATGCAAAATGCTGAATTGTTTCTTACCCCCAAACATGAGACACTGGTTCCTCTATCAGGCTGTAGGATATCTATGTGCCATCATTTGAGAAGGGCTCCACAACTGTCTCAAAATGACCCAGCAAACAGCCCCAGGCACAGCTGGAGGAAACCCTCTGCAGTACAGAGGAGCTTGAACGGGCAGACCTTTCAGCTTGGCTGGTCTGACATACTGCCAGAAACAGCCACACAGGCTGTACACAAAGTACCTGGGAGGTGGCTTTAGGCCTGAAACTGTAAAATTATGGCCACTCTTGCATCAGTTTGCCTGTCAAAAATCTGCACGGCCTCCACTTGTATCACAGAATGGAAATACATTTTCATGGTCCTATTTTTGCTTTTGTGCTATGTTGTTTCTGAATGTGGTTTTTGCTCCTTTTTTCCTCAGCACTTATTGCCATTATTATTATTTTTTAATATAGCATAAAAGAGGAGAAAACATCAGTTACATAATTACATGGAATGGATATGCATGATTACAGGACAGCTGGTAGGTATTTTCAATGATCCCTTTTTCATTTATATTTGCAAAAAAATTTCTGCCCACAGATGGAGCAGATGCCATTGGACATTGTCATTCTTTTTGGTATGCCACTGATATTGTAAAACTGTCAAGATCAAGTTTACAGGAAAAAAAGAAGCGAAAGAACCACAAAATATTTGCCTAGAGTCAAAGATGCATAAACACATTTTAAATGCCATCAAAGATAAAAACAGCATGGAGAGGACTACAGTTGTCTTAGTTTCCTAGTGCTAGGATGCACAGTTACCAAAACATAATTAAAATCTTATTGCTGATGCAAGAACTTTAACAACCTTCTGCTTCATTTTAAGCAACGGGGACATAAGAGAGTTGTGCTGAGATAATCACCTTATTCGGGAAGGGAGCATAAGAGCTATAAAAAGGAAAGGGCAAGAAGATTCTTTCACAGACTTTGGTGAAGTGAGAAGCTTGTCTTTCTATGGCAATTAGGAAATTTATGTAGTCTCTTGTACATAGGGACTCTCCCCTTGAAAACCCTGAATCAGCCCCTGGCATGTCACTGACTACTGCTTCATGAAGGCTAGTCTTCTAATCAGAAGACTGACAAGTGAGTTCAAAAGTTTGTCTGTGGCACAAGAACAGCTCTCCTTAAGGAAAGGTGAGGTTAGCTTACTCCAAGAATATCCAGTGGAGCTTATTCTTACAAACTCAGGGGCACAATAGATTTAAGAGCTAATTCCAGTCCTTGCAAGTGGTATTTAGGATGATGATCCTCAGCACTTACACCCATGTAGTCAGAACAAATGTCTGCAAAGTCTCTTCCTGTCACTCCATAGTACAGTCTGTAAAAAAGTCGTGTCACAGCAAAATCCACGGATTCATCAGGCTGGATTCTGTCATAAAACCACAGAAGAGTACACAGGTGAGTCTGTTCTTGACGAAACCCCCAGAATACAATACCAACAAGATTTTAACTCTAGCTAGCTCCTGCTTCCTTCAACCTTCAGGTTTAGATTCATTTTCTTTTGCAACAGCAGACACCCTCATACTTGCAATACCAATATGCTTGATAGCAAGTTATGCTGAAATTAAGCTATGAATTGCTTTTGCAGCCACAGCTACTTAGCTCTGTTAGAGGAGGGCCAAGCTGACACTTTTTCTTATAGAAAGAGACTTTGCTTAGAGTCTCATTATACAGAAAAATTAATTAGATATATTTCACTGTTTTGAAGAAGCAACAAGATCAGCCAAATCTCGGTAAGACGTAAGATGCCAGTCAAAGAAGTATTAAGTTTCTGTAGCTGAAAGAGCCCACTGTCCTCCTGACACAAATTCCTCAGAATGAAATCTTTACTAAATTGCAGCAAGCAGTATTTAACCCTCTATGCTTAAAAAACCCCAAGCCAATACTGTCTGCAAAAATGGATGTTAACATCTTTTGTCACCTGAGACTGTATGTGTAACAGGTCTTGGGAGACTGAAACCTGGAGGTTTTACTCATTGCTAAATACTCACCAAACTGGAGGTTCTCAACATTAAAAAGGATTTGTCATTTCTGTGGCAACAGGGCACAAAGTAAGAACCTTTAAAATAAAGCTAACAAATTTTGTAGTTATACCTTTAAAATGCACTGATGGGGGAATATAGCTGGTTGACGTACTAAAGGTCAAGAGTATTGATACTCAAGACTTAAGTTTCTGCTAAGAATTTTCAATCAGAGATACATACTATTGGGTTCATCAACTATACAATGTATGGGTAACAAACCTGACACTGATTTTTGTATGTACAGTATCTCCAAAACTACCAAGAAATGTTTGACTTAGAGCCGATGCATTTTGTAGTGGATCTACATGCTTTTGTGGAATCCCTGGAATTTCTAGGCAAAGTCAAACAGTCAGCACAGTAGCTCTGACAGAAACCCTGGGCAAACATAAAGAAAATTCAAATTCTACCCAGGCAAAAATTCTACTTGGATTAAGAGGTTTGAGAATCATCTGGACATACTGTATTGTCTGTGGCAATAGTCAAAACAAAAAAAGAGGAGAACCCCCTAGCAACATTATAGACTGGTAGAGCAGGAAATCATAATTATGAGAAAAAAATACTACGTGTTCTTAATATGAATGTGCTTATCTATTTTTATCCTTTACGTCAAGCTTTTTTATGTCACATTTCCTTCAGGTACACAAATGAAGGACTGAGGATTAACTCAGAAGTTCAATTAGAGGATTAAATGAGTAAATACACTGGCTGTAAGAAGTTAAAGGTTTTTTCCCCTCCTTTCTTCACACCACAAACACAAGTTGTAAAATGACTAAGTATCAAACTTCAGACCAACTATGCAATAATGAAAGTCAAAAAGAGAATCTACAACTACACAACGTAAAATGGGTTTCATATGTTGAGGTGGGTGGTGAAGAGACTGGCCTGGACCAATTTCACTGCAAACAAAGTAAAATCTATCAAATAGCAAATCTTAACAGTTGCCAACCTCAATTTTACCTAAAGACACCTACCTAAAGAATAAATTAAATCCAAAGATGATAAGCATTATAGCTAGATAACAATTCCAATTGCATAATTCATTTTATAGACCTGGAGGAGGAACCATTTGGAGAAACCACCTTTTCTATGGATAAGAGGGAAAAAAGCTCAACACCTTGCATATTTTGCAGGGTGGAACAAAATGACATGTCTATAGCTTCTACTGAAGTATTCACTTAAATTTAATAGGAGTTTTACACTTGTACATTTCTCCCTTACTTAAACCTGAATAAAATATATAAGGGGGAGAGGAGGGGGAAACAAAACTGAAAACCTTTTTGCTTTGCTTCAGTCTTCACAAGAAATGGTAATTGTGAACAGATTGCTAATGTAATTATAGTTAACACCTGGGAATTGTGAGGGAGGAAGACGTAGGCCAGAACAGGAGAAGAACAGGTAAAAATCAACTGAGGTAGGTTAGATATAGTCAAGACAGTATACCACCAATTAAATTTATCCCAGATACCTGTTAGCAGATGCAATCTCTGAACCATTAATTGTCTTTGTGAGCCCAGGGGGAAGAGGCAGAGTTTCAGAAGACTGGAGAAGGAATAATGCAGACCTCTCTTTAGGGAGGCAGAAGAGACTCTAAGGAATAAATTCAGACTATTTTGTATGTATACCAAATGGAGCTCTTCAGGCTTAATGACACCTGGGATGACTACTGATTGTAAGTCTGCAGAACATAAAACCAAGACGGAACTGACGAAATGAGTTTAATTTTTACTCTTATTTAATTCTTTTTCATTTGCATGTCATATAAAACATTGATAAACACTGGTTTAGAGGAACTTACTCATACCGCAGTTGGAAGATTCCTTCAAATTCAGCTCCTAATGGCTCTTTTTGTAATCTGTGAACATTATGAAAAAGTACAGGTTTGTTCCAGGGACACTCGTATTTATTCTTCTTCTTCTACAAGTTTTCTTTAAGAAAAAAATACAAAAAAAAAAAAACCCACCCCAAACCCAAGGCAAAACCAATTTTAAAAAAAAGGACATACTGTGGTTCTTTTGGGTTGCTCTGAAAGTGATGTAACTGGTAATAACTAAGAGCATTCCCCACATGGACAGGGATCTCCACCAGTAAAGTCTAACGGTGAAATAAAAAAGAACAACCCACATCTGCAGCAGTGTGACTAACTTGGCAAAACAGAGACAGTCATCTCAAAGCAGTGACATTTTATCATTCTAGTTTGCATGGTTATGTTTTATTAACAGATTGCAAAACTGTAAAACTCATACAAAAACATGTGACTTGAACAGTACCCAACACAGGAGGGCCTTTGGTTCTAGAATAACCATGTTAGTGTGCTTTTAATCAGTAATTCCAGTGTGGTAAATGGATATAACACTGAGATAACACTCACTAGACCCCCACATTCTATACTCAAAAAACCGAAATTGTCTCTCGCTAGAATTAGTGCTACTGAAAAAAACATTAAGTCTTGTATTCTAAATCAAATTTTATATGGTGACCACAGGGCTAAAGACTTGGGAGCAAGCTTTCTGAAACTAGTAGAGGTAATTTTGCCTTTAATCCTTAGAGCTGCTCTTAAACGCTTTCAGAAAGGCACATTTTGCGGCATTAATTTGGGATGGTGCTGAGTTACATAACCACACTGCTGAAGTTTTTTCTTAAAAACTCTTCCTACAGCAAGACAAAAATCTGTGACTTAAACTTTTAAACTTTTTTTTTTTCCTAAATGCAATTATATCAAATGCAATATGTATATTTGCTTGAATTGTCCATAGTGAGGTAATATTCTACTTCTTTTCCAATAAGCAAACATTTGAAACCCACTGGACTCAAAAGCCCTGTAATGTCAGTTCTCTCCCTGATCATGTTAAAAAGCCATGGATTTAGGATTGTGAAAGCTTGATGATGACAAAGGTACAGCAAGATTGACTTTAATAAGTGTTAATAAGATTCACTTCAGCACAGTCTGCTGCTTGTGAACATAAAAATGACACAACTCCTTCCATGGCACACAGCCTTTCTGGCATGCCACAGGTCAGTGGTCCCTACACATCCCTGACTCTGGAATCTAAGGTCTTCTGGCCTTTACCAGAAGCCACCAAAGGCTCCCTGTCACCTGCCTGCCTTGCTGCTGTGCAATGTGACAGTAATGCCAATGTGCTTATGGGCTGTGAGTTGCTTTTTTTTCCTCAGTAGACTGAAAGGCAAGTCTGAATTTAAGTACCAAAGCCAAAACTGCATGGGCACATATCTTCAGTAAATTAGCTTCTAGTACAAACCTATAACAGAACTTTGTTATCATGTTAGCTTCAAAATGAAATGCTAATTAATTTAAAAAATGTTATCACAACCCCTCAGGTGATGATATCAGATCAGTTGGTATATACTGTTTGCAGCAATTGTTTCAAATTTTCTTATTGATTTTTATGTCTTTCAGATTGTTAATTTTAATACTATTAGCCTCTATATGAAATGCATGAGTATTTTGTCATGTAAATGAGGACAAAGATAGGAATTGAGTCATACAGATGAGACTCTCAGTATTGATTTATTATTAATACTTAGAAGTTCACCATATGGACAATTCCATAAAATAATACATCTGCATTGCTGCTAAATGGAAGCTTTAACATCTGGATCATATTACTCCAAATATTCCTCATCCACCCATCATAGCAAGAGGAATTTCCTGACAAATCAGATTGCTGCCCAAAGGTAAAATGTTTTTCTCATTACTGTACTTTAAACGAGCTCAAAAAGACCTAGCAGTGAAGTCAGCATCAGCGTCATAGACAACTTTTCCATTTTCTAATTATGCAGATTAAATAGGTCATACAAGCACCAACTGAAAAACCTTCATCTGTCCTCTGCTTCCCTCACAACGCTCCCCTCGCTCTGAGTGGGTAAGAATGCCTATCACCAGCAAAGTCAACAGAAGAACATGAATCCACTGTGCTTTCCATCTTACAGCATATGGTGAAACTGCATGCATAAAGAAAATAACTGTGTAATATTTAGATTTATTGTGAGAGACTGACCTTACTAGAACTTGTTAACTTGGCAATGCAGGCTAGTTGGCTCTCTAAAATTCTAGTTTCTTTTGATGTAGACATATTCAAGTAGTCAAAAACATATGCATGGAAGAAATAATAAATCAGCTGTTTGTTTGGGCTTTTTTAAAAGTTTAAATGAATATGCTTATACTTGATAGTACATTGGAAATTGGCAGGGATTTCTATACTAAGTAAATCCACTAACCTTCTTCTCAAGATTTGCCTCGGATATAGAAATCAATGCCATCATAACTATGCTGCTTCATTTTTCAACTATATTCCAAAGTAAGTTCATTTCTATAGTAAGTAAATCCTCTAACCTTCTTCTCAAGATTTGCCTCATACTTAGATATAGAAATCAATGCCATCATAACTATGCTGCTTCATTTTTCAACTATATTCCAAAGTAAGTTCTCATTACAGGACTGCCACATGATAAAAGGGGTAAAATCAGAAAAAGGGACAACCACCTTCGGGACCAGAAGTAAGGCTTTTGTGTTTGAGAGTGTTCTAAGACCATGATAAATCTACCTTTCTGTCTTAGATATTTTCAGATTTCTATTACACCGGGGAAGAACAACTTTGTCCACTTATATCTGTTTAATTTTCACCAATGGACAGCTTCCAACGGCAAGCAAATTACATTATAAGAATCAACCGAGTACCTGATAGTCAGAATTTCCTTTGGGAAAATGCAGAGTCATAACACTAATAAGATTTTTGTTTGTTTTTTTCTCTTCTTCCTTCGTTCCCCATTTGATATGCTAGACTTGTGCCTTTATGTTGAAAAAAAAATGGACAGGATAGTCTAGGACAGGATAGGAGTGTTTTTTGAAGGGTGGTAATTCTCTGACCAGCACTCTTTGCCACCCCACGCCCCAGAGCTCATAATACAGTTGCAAACACATAACTGCCTGCATCTCACTGAGTTAGACAAGTGCAAAACTTGTGAGTGAAATGGAGGCATGAGAACACTGTCTGAACACAGATGGAAACCTACTGAAAATAAAGCTTGTACAATGTGAATTAGCAGAACAGGTGCTCCATGTTTATTTTTTTTTTTTTAAATCTCAAACAACAACTACAAAATTCTCTAAAATAACTGAGAAATTATTTTTTTTCTCTCTAAGCTGCTTCCTTCCTGGGGAAGTTAACCCCAAACTGTCAGATACCATCTAGAAGAAAAAGCACAACTGTCAGTAGCCTACACTTTATTCCAGGCCAAGACTTACTAGAAAAACCCTCTTCCTTATTTTTGCCCTACCTACCCCACCTCTGTGCTAGGGTTACATCCACCTTACTTTATATGTAGCCACCTGATGAAGAGCAATCTCTTCTCTTTTGCCAAAACTATCCACAGCTGAGCCTTGGTTGCTTTGCTGTAACATTTTTTGCTCTTGCCTCTTTGAAATAGGAGTCTTTCACAGCATGCCTTTTTTTTTTTTTCTTTGGGAGACGTTTTACATTCTTGACAGGCCTGGATAAGACTTTTTTTGGAAGGTACAGGCTGTTGCTGTTTCCCTTGCATCTAGTAAGTAGTCACTGCTTTTCAGATTTTGTTCTTTTTGAGCAAGCTAATGAATGCCCTTTCCATTTAGGGCTGATTTTATGCTCCCTTTGACCTTCATTTCCCTTTTCTTTCAAAAAGAAAACGAAGTTTGCTTTTTTATATTTGGAAAGGACTTTGAAGAGGGGGGAAGAAGCAGGAGAAGGAAGTCAATCCTTTGCTTTATTTCTACCAACAGGACATTGTAGTTCTTTCTGAGGTCTTACTGTGTCTGAGAATAGCATGAGCATCTAGAGCAGGGATGCATGCATGCAAACGTCCACTGTGGCCTCAGAGAATCAGACAGAAATTTTGTCAGCTCATGATGCCTTCCAAGCCATGATGTGCAGTGGAAAGCTGGCTACTTGTTTCACTGATTTCTTGGGATAGAAAACAGAAAAGAAAGAAGCTTTTTTTATCACAGAAAAGAAGTCTTAGTTTTATCCCTCCCACTGAAAATAATGTATTTTTTATGTCTTTGTCTGATTTCCCTTCTCCTTTCCTCCTAAAGATGCAAGCATGATGTTACAAGTAGGGGAAAGTGTTTGGTTTCTTTTCTTTAGTATTAAACACTGTTGTGCATAACCTGCATGTGAACTGTACAGACATAAAAGAGGCAGTCAAAAGCTGAGTAGCAAGTAAGAGAAATGTGTAAGCAGGCAAAAGTAGAGGGCTGTTTTCAGTGAGCATGTGGTTGTTTTGCAAATTTTGACTTATTTAAAAGTTTCCTACCAAATCAAACAAAAATTATATGCACATGAACACAAGCATAATAATTGCCACCTGGAAGAACTGTAAACGCAGAAGTCTAGACTTGCCTGTACTCAGGGAAGTAGTAGATTTCTTTTTTGTTATTGTTTATTTTTATGTCAAATGGACAATTTCCTGTATGCATTAACTAAGTTGTTTAAATCCTAAATGCAACCATCTTTACAATTTCTGCTCCTAAATCAGGTTTCCTTATCTGATGCAACAATATGTACTAGGGTTTTTTCATCTATCTGGTGTAAGGATCTCATGAAACATTCAACTTTACATCTTCATGTTTGTCCTATTTGCTAATCTTCCAAACACAGTTGATCAGATTTTGGAAGTTACTATACTGGTAGGAGAATATATTACTTTCCCAACTAAATAGGATGTGAAGCAGAACTGCCAAAACTCAGTGCAAAGTGAATTTCAACTTCTGCTGCTACTATTTTTACTGAAAAAGGCTCTGCTTCAGTTCCTCTTTTACTGGAGAAGGAGGAGGCTTTACTGCTGACACAGACATACACTGAGAAGTGAGGTCCCAGTGTCTTGGTACAGATGTTCTCTTATTTTAAAATGTACTGCAAAACCACAAAAAATATCACCGAAGTCTTATTAAAATGTTGCATTTGTACTGGAGCCTACCTAAATTACACTAAATGCATTTAAAAGGGTGCTTTTTTTTTTTGCCCTTTTTTTTTTCTCTTCTATATTGGCTATATCAGTTCATAGGTATGTCTGGCTGGCTCCTGTAAACTAATAGTTGGGGATGAAGCTCTAATTGCTGAAAACTAACATACACTAGTGATAGGACTGTAACAAGTGTAGGCTATTGGCATTTTTGACAGAGGATAAGTCTATGTAGTACACCTTAGCTAACTTTAAACACCGCTAAGGAGGACAATGCCAAAGCAACACGAAGTGCATACTGCTTAGACTCCCACAGGCTTTCCTAGGTAGACAGGGACTTCCCAGCTACTCATCACTGTATGCATACTTACAGTTCAAGCATGTTTCATCACCAGTTTCATGCAAAATATTTTCAATGGAAAAGAAAGATGTGGGCAGTCTGAGTAACTTCAGTCGCTTCAGTGTTACGTTCTTTATTTTAAATGTCTGTTGAAATCGCTTAGGCAATAATTGCTAGGAAAGATAATACTTGAAAAGTGCTGAACTGAGATGCCTACATGAACATAAAATGACTGAATCATATAACAGAACTGGTCTAGTAGAGAGTTAGATAACGTAATGTTAAAGAAGTGTCATATAGGATTATCCTATATATGCTCAGATATTGTGTGCACTTGGTGTTAGGCGTGTGTGTTTGTAAAAACAGAGAGTGAAACGAAGCTGAAATCCTCAATGAACTGTGCTTCCTGTGACTTTATTCAACCCTTCAGCTGTATACATGTTGCCATGACAAACATTTCATCACTGTTCTTAGCTCTGTTAAGTGTAGCTGAAGAGCCTGTTTCACAATCTCTGTATAGCATTTTTATGCCACTGTGAAACTCCACTAACAGTAAAGCTGTCATAGATCAGACTGGTTTTATACCCTGCACTAAAATGGTTCCTGTAAATTGTATCAAGGTTTCATCCTTCAGTGTTTAACAGACCTGTCAAGTCAGAGGGTAAGATGCTTCAGAGTCCAAGGAGCAATTGCCAAGAGATAAAGTATTGATCAGGACAGTTATTGATATCACTGCTATTAAGAAGTTCAGTTAGCAAAAACCAGATAGCTTAGGACACTCATCAGCTGATGAAGATAGAAAAGCTAAGAAGCTGCTTGTGTGCTCAAAGTTCTGCCTGTCTGAAATGTCTGTATAATCCCCACTGGTTTTTTAACACTTACTTAAAACTCACACTGCTTTTTAAGGAGTGGCCCTTTCTGAGACACCTAACTTTTTTTAACCTAATGAATAGGGAGGTCAGATGTGGCTATCATGTCACTCTAGTTTTCTCAGGTTTGCAGAGAAGTTTGTGGTAGGGGAGAGGAAGTAAGCTGAAGCACCATAAGCACTGGTTTTAGCACCTTAACCACAAGACAAGCTTTTTCTCTCACAAGGCATGTGTGTAAGTAACTTGATGAATGGGGCCTTGGATTCTCTCAGTAAACCCTCTGTAGGATTACTTTAGCTAGATAAGCGTAGTCGCTTTGCTCTCCTATCTAGTCTATTATTAGGCAGCTGTTTGAAAACTCAAAGCTTTTTCCTAAAAGACTGATTACATCATCAGTATGTATACACAGGAAATAAAATTGTTTTTATTGTTTTTTCTTCCTGCATAAAAGCTATTTTTCACCTCACCAAAAGCCATAGCTTGCCACTTTCCACAGAGGCTGTTGTATTGCTAGATGTAAACCCTTGAGAGTGTGTCATGACTCCCAGCTTTTACCTGAGAAAGGTGATGTCTTAACCATTATAGCTCCAAAACTTCTGTCTTTCTGGCAAGATTCTCACATTGTATGATTGATGATGTCTTTGCTTCCACTGAACAAGCAAAATCTGGGCAACAATCAAAGCTGGAATGAGAACAAGAACCATCTCCGCATGTGTTAATTCACAGCCATGGTGCTTCACATGTATCTTCTGATGTTGCAGCCTGAAAAGAAAATATGCATGCTGTTAAAAAAAGTCTAGATTGACTTCTTGTGCCTACAGGTGACAGTAAGCCTATATATGAGAGATGCTTTGTAAGGAAATAAGCATGAAGACATAGGGTAACAAACTAGATGAGGATACTTGATCTTTGTAACTGGAACTATTATCCTGAAAAACAAAATGTAAAGTAATGGGATGAGAGTTGTTGTCTTTTCTTTTTCTAGTAACTCAATCCTGAGCATAAATATAACCACAAATAGATAACGCTTATGAATCTTAAGCAGACGTTTCATAATCACAGATTTGAGTCCTGCATAATCTTGTAGCCCAAGGTAAATGCAAACTCAGGAGAGGGTGATGCACTTGGTGTCCCTCAGGTCACAGTCGAGGGTGCCCCCTTATGGGCAGTGTACCGATGGCCAGGCATGCTCCTGGGGCATGCCTGTAGCTGGAGATGGTGTAATTAATGCACATCCTAAGAAAAAGGAAGACAGCAACAGGGAGAGAACAAGATTTTCCTCTCCACCCTCCCCTGAAGAAGGCATTAAAACGATGATTATGATTTCTTTATACCAGACTTGCAAGGACAGGAAGAGTTATATTTTTTTTGTACCTAAAGAAAAACATTGTACCACAACAGCAATCTCCATAATGATTGCCGTAAAGCTGTTCCCTATTTTGTTTTACTGGGGAACTGAATAAACTGACAGAATAAAAAGTTCCAGTAAAAGCTTTCAAGAAAAGAAAATTCTTTACTAACTACACTTCTGTGAACAAATGTTTAAGGTTTCTGGTATTGCTATAAACGTATGATTCATTTAACAAAACATTTGCAAGCAATATGTAAATTAACATACTTCCATTGTTCCTCTGTTGATAATAAATCATTTTCCTGAAACACATTCAAAACAAGTAGTATAACTTCACTGTGAACAATAGCCAGATGGGTTTTCTTCTCTTAAACCTCACCACCCCTTCTGTCCCGTGAGCTGCTGAATGTGTTGGCACGTTCCCTCTGTCGCTTTTGCCTGGAAGCTGCTTAGGAACCTGCAGCTGGGCTGAGGATGGTGGCCACACAATTTCGATGGCTGCTGTAGGTGCAGCTGATGAATCCCCTCAGGGTGACTGGCCAATGGGGCTGATGGTGTACTCCAGAGCACTACAGTTATCATGTAACTTCAGCCAAAAGGGACCTTGGCAGTTATTTGGCCCAACCTCCGGTGGAAACCAGAGGGAAGGACATCAGGTTGCTCAGGGCTGAGTACAGCTGAGATAATAATATCTCCTTGGCTGGATACTTCACTGCCCCTCAACTGTCTTCAATATATGGGGACAAAAACACTGTGACAAAATTAGCAAGCTGAGGTATAAACAAAATGTTTCCATGACTTATTCAAAAAGGTCTAGGTTTGATCTTTCAGGTACTATAATTAGGTGACCGTACAGGTCCACCATAAAGCCTGGTGCTGTAGTTCACACACACAAAAGGCTAAGAAGGGGAATTTGAGAGTATTCAGTTAAGTCTGAAGGTAGTACTTCTGGTTCCAAACTGATTTCTATCAGAAAAAGTAATTATCAAAGATGGTGTTTAGTTCTTGTTTTTCCTTCCAAATCTTTCGATTATTTATATTTTATATAAAAATTTCTAAAACTCAAGATCTGCTTTTCCAGTTTTTATGAAGGTTTAAGTGTTTTTCAGTTGAAATGTCCATGTGTGGTGGTGGTTCTTATTGTCCATATACCTTGAAGTGTCAAGATGCAACTTCATGTTGGTTTTTGCCACATGGGTGATGTGTCCTTGCATTTTGCTTTGAGTATTGAGGGATATGCTAGGGTTTTACCATCTGCCTTAAGTAACTGCCTGGTGCTTTGTACTAGTTGAAGGGGGAAACGGGGAATGGAAGTCACCATTCACACAGGGGAAGATGTACACTTTTAGAAGAATTTAAGTACCAGCTTAAGAACAGCTGTACCTAGCAGAAACTTCAATCTCATCTAGACGCCCAGCTGCCACTCTTAGCTTCCTCAGCTCCTTTTGCTGTTTCTGCCAGAAAAAGTATAAGGAAGGTGGCTCCTGATGTCTCAGCTTGGGAGGTCATGGGGATTGAATTGAGGGAAGGGAAAGGGAAAGGGGAAGGGAGTCTTCATACTTTTGCCAAGTCAAGTACAAACACTGACAGTCTAGTCTTAGCAAATATTGTAAAACTGAGACTTGCTTTTGTGGTTCATGTGTATGCTAATGTACCTTCACAAATCTGCACATCTGCAAATTCTAATCTCATTAGAGCTGAATTAAATTGCAACAATTACGCTATATAGTTCAGAGATGTGTTTCTATTCACACTGCATTATTTATTTGTTTGCCAGCTAGCAAGTAACAGAGAACTTACATATTCTGCAAATGCATTCATATCCTAGCAATTGAACCCGATTTCTGTTGTTACTATGCAATAAGACTGGAAATGTGATTGCCTTAGTTTGTATCCCACCTTCCTCAACCTTGTACACAGTAACATTTTCGACTCTGTAGCAAGCTAGGGACCAGATAAGAGGAAGGCTACTGGGCCTTAAAAATAACGTGCATTTTATTTCAGAGAGCAGACTGTTTGCTGGTATTTAATCACATTCTATTAGTATACTTCTTTCCAACTTACTGAAGAGAAGAACTTTTATAGAATAACGATTTTTGTTGTTATTTTTATTCTTTTCCCCAGCACATACTGATAATGACACTTTTTCTTCAAGTATCAGCCTATCTGTCCAGAACTTGGATGTGGTAATGGTTAAAAAATGAAAACAAAACTATCCATGCTGTGTTTTTAACTTTATTTTGGATAACATGTGACCTAATGAATCCTTGCATATCCAGATTTCTCTTCTGAACTTGTTATTATTCTTTGTCCCCTATGGCAGTGGCAATGACTTGGTGATAAGGGTTGCCCTGCACTAGGTGGGTGTGCTGAATGAGGCAAAGACCAGAGCAGCAGGTGAAGTCTTGTCACAACAAGGCAGCTGGGATGGGCGAAGAACTGACAGGAGGGATTAAGAGAAATACCATGAGATGCTTCTACCTGGGTGCTGCAATTTGTGGTGCAGGGATTGAGAGAAAAAAAAAACAAAAACAAACATGTATGCAAGGAAGCACAATGGAGTAAGTTGACAGTGGCCATGGAGGAATACAACGCGTAGAGGCAAATGCTACACGGCAGCACGGTGCTGTGTGTGCAGCAGTGGGTGCAGTAACCCTGAGCTACCCTGGCTGTGAAGGCTGGGTACACGACATAGAGGAGAGCACTGAGGAGCAAAGGAGAGTATTGTGGTTGCTGGCAGTGGGGACAGGACAACAAAGCCACGTTTTAATCTGTAGACAGTCTAAGATATATGAAATTTTTATTTGGTCCTTGGGAAAAGGACAATTTTGGACCCAGCTAGGGGCTGTAACATCAGTGTGTAATGGATGATCAGCAAATGCTGGTCATGGGAATGACCTTCCCCTCACCAGTGTCCCCCCAGTAGTGGCAAACTGTGACCTGGCAAAAAAGTATTTACTAGGAATGCCAAACTCTTTTCTAAACACAGCGTCCATCAACAGCAGACAGGGATAAAGGCTGGATGCCGTTTGTGAAGTTGTGGCCTCTCTTCTGGCTGCTGGGTAAAAAGTACTTGCTAATGAGGTGTAAACCAACATTATCCACCTAAAACTGGACAGAACAGGAAAATAATACTTGCTTAAAGGAATGAGAAGAATTGCTTTTACATGAGTAGAACTATTTTCTTGCCACAGCCCAGGTGAATCCCTTTTTATTTACACTGGGGTGAAATAAAAGCTTCAGAGCTGCCAAGCAGATGCCCTGATGTGCGCTTTAACTTCCTCAGTTGGATGACTGAAAGTTTTCGGAGTTTTTTTAATCTTGAAAAAAAGTAATTTTTCCAAATACATTTGTATTGCTTATTATTATTGATCTCATCTTTATTGCACTATTGTACTAATCGTCAAGCATCTATCGTCGCTTGTTTTAAATTAGATTGCAAGGTCATCGGGGAAGGGTATGTGTGTTCTTATGTATGCTTTAGGCAATAAGACACTCAAAAATTGTGTCTGGGCTTTATGACACTACTGCAGTCCTTATGAAGAGTAATTATGAGTAATGCACAGAATTGTACAGAGAGCTACTGTCTGACCCTGTGTCAACTGTCTTAAAAATCCTGCCAAAGCTGTGTGAGAGCAAGGAAAGGTTGAAAGATTCTGGATGGCTCCATTTTCCAACAGGGAAGGAAAAAGGCACAGAGGTGAATGAGGGCGTGACCCCCTTGCTCCCTAGGAGTGGGCTGGTGGAGAGATGCCCAGCCCCACTGAGCTGGGGATGGAGAGATGGGCGATGCCCAGCTGGTGGGCTAAGAAGCACAAATGCCCCTGTATGTTGAGGGGCAAGCACTGGGTTTAGGTTTAGAGGTGCAGGTTTATCTCCTGCCACCACCAGCCCTTCTCCAGTTGCTCTTTCCTCCTCCTCCTCCCTCTGGCTCTGCTGCTCCACCTCCGGGACGTGAGCCCAGTATGGGAGGGAAGGCGCCCTGGACACTTGCCCAGGCTCTGGAGGTGCTGGTGGGAGGCCATTTGGCATGGCAGGGGGGTGCAGAACCCCAAGATGTCGTTGATGAGGTCAGGGAGTGCTGGGGCTGGCTCAGCTTTGCTGCCCATTCCCGATCTCCCAGCCAGAGTCATATATGTGTGTGACACAAAAGAGCTGGGGTTTTTCCTCATTCTGAGGTTTACTGGCATTGCTGTCACCAGCCAGGGGCTGAGTGGTAGCATTGCTCTGGGAGAGCTTCTGAGGCAGACAAGGCAGCACCCTGCCCCATCCACCTCAAAGCTTGCCTGGGCATCGCCAGCCCAGACCATTGCTGTTGGCCTCTCCTGCCTCCGCTACCTGTTTGAAACTCAAGAGAGGTCATAAGTGTGTGGGTTATTCTCCCTGTAGGGTTTTTTTGGTGCATCTGATGAGTGGCTGTGGAGATCCTTCGAGCTGGCTGCTCAAAGCATCCCAAGGCAGCAACAAGCCAAACTTTATTATTGTTTGTTGTTGCCATGTAATTACTTTACTTTGTTATCTGATGCATGAGACACTGAACTGGAGGTGATCTGTGGTCTCCTGGCCCTTCCTGAGCCTGTTACTGAGGATCCTGAAGAGATGGACATTCATGCAAGTCCTGAATGGCTGTGAGGTGACAAGGTTGCTGAGGGTTTGTACATGGTCTTTCACCTTTTGTATGGTGAGAGAGGAGGTTTTTAGTGTGTCTGTTGTACAGGGGGAGAAATACCAGTAGTTGGTCCATACATGCCCTCACACAGAAGACATTAGTCCTGACATTGAAGGGAAGCAGATGCTGACCCTTGTCGTGTGCCATCCCCTGCAGCAACCCAAAGGCACCACGACTCTGCACTGGTGTGGAGCAGCTTGGGGCTTAGGCTTGCAACGGAGTGCTGTTCATGTATGATGGCTTCACAAATTGCTAGCTGGTCAGCTCCACAGCTGGAGTCTCCTGCCAGCAAGGCCTGTACGGTCATTGCCACAAAGTCCTCCCTGTGTGGCAGGGCTGAGTGAAGTCCATGCTGCATGCATGAATAAATGCTACAGCAATATAATTAATGAGTATCAGCCACTGGTGGGAAGGGAAAGCCTTATCTAGGAAAAATAGTGATACCTTTCCTAGCTATTTTGCTATGAGTAGGTATGTGTTTTTAAAAAGACATATAGATTAAAACAGTGAGTTGCATGTCATAATGTTATATGATTTCATTGTATAGCTTCTATAATGGCCATTTAACCCAGAATATGCATCAAAACCTTCACAACAAGCTTAAATCACCAAATATTTTTCTGTTATGAAAGT